TTTTTCAAAAATATACATAAAAAGTATGTAATCATATCAACTTTAATTTTGATTAATTACTTCTTTTTAATTGACTGGTTTATGGAGCTTCAAAGCTTGATGCTTGAGATGATGCTTTTAGGGCTTGGGCCGTGCCTTAAAAGGCACGATCCACGAGGCTTGGCTGGAGACTTCCCCTTGAACACAATATCGGAGGTCGGAGATAGCACTCTTCCCTCCTTTTTGTCTTTCAACCCCCCTCCAAGCCAAAATATGGATGATTCCAGAAAGCGGAAGTTGAATGATACAGCAGACAGTGACTATGGTGATAAAACTGGCGGAAAGCGAAAAATAATCGGACCAGCTTTACCCTCCGAGCATGATCAAAAGATAAGCCATGATGACGATTCTGACGACAGTGATGATGATATTGGACCGATTTTACCTCCTTCAGGGACCGAGCACCTTCGGCTTGATAATAAACCTGACAATGCTGGTTTGTTATCTAAGGAGAATCAAATCCATACGAACAGCCGTCAGCGGGACGAATGGATGCTGCAGCCCCCAGAGGAATCAGATTGGACATCTAGAGTTGACCCAACTAAGCTTCGAAATCGAAAATTTCAGACAGGGAGATCGACCAGAGGTCCACCCGTAGCAAATCGCGTGGATTCGTCTTGGACAGAGAACCCGGAACAAAAGATGGAGCGCATAAGAGATGAAGTAATGGGTGTTAAGACTTCCATGCCAGTGAAGGATGGAAGCAACCACTCAGAGGCATCCCGAATTTCTGATGCAACCCACGAGAGGATACAAAAATACAATGCAAGTACCGAATATGATTTTGGTCTTTCTCTCTGACTTTGCTAACAAACTTTAGGAGGCAACAAGGAAAGACGTGGCACAGCAATCCGGACTCAAATTGGGTGACAATGGGGAAGACCCAGGCATGCGCCCATTTGACAGGGAGAAAGATATGGCTACTTCCTCGAGTATTTCTAATGCTCAGCGTCGAGAATTGCTGAATAAAGCTGCAGACTTTGGTTCTCGTTTTACTGGAGGGCGATTACTTTGAAATATGTTCGGAAGCGGGTACCAGTAATGACCATTATTGAGCAACCCAGTGGTATATATTGAACTGATTTCACATTCAATGAGAAATTCAAAGCCACAAAAAATACATATCAGAGAGAAAAAGGGGTATCTGTGGGTGTAGATAATAGTACATACAAGAAGCGCGGCCGCGACCTCATGACTTCCCTGATACTCAAAGAAAGTAGAGTTTGCCAGTTGACAGGATAATGAGTGAATAGATGTAAAGCCCATGCCTGTAGAGGGCTGAAAGTCATGGTGATAGTCTCCTAACCTTAGGCACATAGCCCCTGAGCTCAAGCCCATAGAGGGCGCCCATATAAATAGATATAGCTGCAAGACCCCACACCTTATCATTCATTATGGAAATTATATCATTTTAAAGAGAAAGAAGAGCTCTATAAACCGTCAAAAGACCATTAAAAAAGAGCCATAAAATAGACAAGAAAGTGGGCTAGAAAGGCTCAACGATGGTGGAAAATTTCATTAGGATAAGATGGCAGAATGGCCTGCAGGCAGTGGTGACCAACCAATCAGCATGCTGGGAAAGTAGAAAATGCGTATATACATATTGATTGATGATTGATACGGAGTATATATCAGCTTTCAATGCTTCCCTGGCACTGGACGAGGGGGGGATGAGACCCAAAAAAAAAAAAAAAAAAAAAAAAAAAAAAAAAAATTGAGAGAGCGCCTAGAGTACAGGGTCTATGTCCATAACATCATCATCATCGATTATGATTCCAAAATCACTTTTGACTGCGCTGCTCTCGGTTGTAGATGGATGGTCCAACCTCGCTTGCCTTGCCCGTGCCCGCGTTTCAGCTATCGCTCGCCGCACATTGTCTTGTTCTCCTGGTATTGACAGTGATTTTGGTTCCCGGTAAAGAACCAGTTCATGACTTTGGGGTTTAGTGTCTGCGATGAGAGTATTCGGTATAGACAGCAGTGTCCCTGCAACCCCTGGCAAGATACTGATGGTGTCTTCTTGGGTATCGCTTTCTGCTAACTCTCGATCAATATCATGAATAAAAACCGTATCTTTTGTATCATCCAATAGCATTTGGTCAGCTAAATTTGGCGTATTTCGTGTAGGTTTCGGCGGTTCATCATGTCCCAGGCCATTGAGGTTCGCAATGGACTCTATTTCTCAAAAAGAAAAGAGGGAAGGAAAGAGGGGAAGACTGATAGTTAACAAGTCTTATTCAGTTGGACCATATGATGAGTCTGATATTTTATTTACCTATGTGTAACCGTCCAAATCTTTTTGCCAAAGGTTGGTCTTCGGGCTCGCTTTCTGCGGGGCGCTTTTTTCCGTGGTATGGAATTGCCGTGTCAATTTGTTGCGCCATTAACCCACGCTTCACAGCCTATTGACCGATACTTTTGAATATTGCCAACAGAAAGAAGAAAAAAGAGGAAGAAAGAAAAAGCCCTCGTATTATTCTGCTATATTTAGCGAAACAGCCACAGGAACGAAGTGTTGCTGAGTGAGCATTGGGCTTATTTATATGCGAACCTCTCGTTTTCTGAGGGACGGGGAATTGGCTTTGACTCATCTATCCACCCCATTCAGGTCAAACCCCAGAACATTCCACCACCCTCTTCCGAACTCAGCAATATCACGCACAAATCACACCTGCACAGTTTTTAGGATGAGTTCGGACTCGAATGGTCCTAAATGGACCAGCCAGAAAGTTCGGGATACTTTTCTCGATTATTTCAAGGAAAATGGCCATACATTCGGTATGTTCAAGAACCCCTCCCCCGCCCTACTAAGAGGAGGGGTATCGAGAAGGCAAAAAAAA